TCTGTAGTTCCTTTCATTACACACACACATACACACACACACGCACACACACACACACACACACACACACACACACACACACACACACACACACACACGCACACACACACACACACACACACACACACACACACACACACACACACACACACACACACACACACACACACACACACACACACACACACACACATACATACATACACATTTATATGCAACTATATCTATCTATCTCTCTCTCTCTCTATATATATATATATATTTTTTTTTTTTTTTTATCTCCCTCCTTACCCTTCTTGTTCAGTCCATCCCTTCCTCCCTCCTCCTCCTCCTTATATTCTTCCGCATCTACCCTTTATTCCTCCCCGCCCCCCTCTCCATCCCCTCCACCCTCCCGCCCTTCATCCCGCCTTCCCTTCCAGGTTCACAGAAGCACCCGACTCGTCATGCTCGTGGCAGCTGGTGAGCGAGGTCAGGGCGACGTACCCCACGGAGGACGACTTCAACCGAGAGCTGATGGGGAAGCTGTCCATTCTCACGGACAATCCAGAGGGTAAGGGTTGGTGGTTGGGAGACGGAGAGAGAGAGAGAGAGAGAGAGAGAGAGAGAGAGAGAGAGAGAGAGAGAGAGAGAGAGAGAGAGAGAGAGAGAGAGAGAGAGAGAGAGAGAGGGAGGGATGGAAGGAAGGAGAAAAACGGATGGTCGGTGGTTGGGAGACGGAGAGAGAGAAAGAGAGAGGTGCAAGGACAGAAGGAAGGGGAAAGGGAGAGGGAGGGAGGGAGGGAAGGAGAAAAACGGATGGTCGATGATTGGGAGACGGAGAGAAAGAGACAAGAGGATAGAAGGAAGGGGAAAAGGGAGAGGAAGGAGGGAGGGATGGATGGAAGGAGAAAAACGGATGGTCGATGATTAGGAGACGGAGAGAGAGAGAGAGAGGTGCAAGGACAGAAGGAAGGGGAGAGGGAGAGGAAGGAGGGAGGGAGGGAAGGAGAAAAACGGATGGTCGATGATTGGGAGACGGAGAGAAAGAGACAAGAGGATAGAAGGAAGATGAGGGAAGGAGAAAAACGGATGGTCGATGATTGGGAGACGGAGAGAAAGACACAAAAGGATAGAATTAAGGGGAAAAGGGAGAGGAAGGAGGGAGGGAGGGAGGGAAGGAGAAAATCGGATAGTCGATGATTGGGAGACGGAGAGAAAGAGACAAGGGGATAGAAGGAAGGGGGAAAGGGAGAGGAAGGAGGGAGGGAGGGAAGGAAGGAGAAAAACGGATAGTCGATGATTGGGAGACAGAGAGCAGAGAGAGACAAGAGGATAGAAGGAAGGGGAAAGGGAGAAAGAGAAGGGAGGGAGGGAGGGAGAAAAACGGATGGTCGATGACTGGGAGACGGAGAGAGAGAGGGAGGTGCAAGGACAGAAGGAAGGGGAAAGGGAGATGAAGGAGGGAGGAGGGGGATGAAGGGAGGGAAGGAGGGAAGGAGAAAAACGGATGGTCGATGATTGGGAAACGGAGAGAAGAGAGAGACAAGAGGATAGCAGGAAGGGGAGAGAGAGAAAGAGAAGGGAGGGAGTGAAAAAAAACGATGGTGATGGTCGATGAGAAAAGGAGAGAAAGAGAGAAGACAGGGGAAACGGAGGAGAAGGAAGGGGGGAGGGAAAAAAACGGGTTTTAATGATCGATGATTGATAGACAGAGAAAGAGAGAGGAGGACAGAAGATAGGAGAAATGGAGGGGAAAGAGGGATTTGGGCGAGAAAAACGGATAGCAAGTGACTGAGAACAGAGAAAGAGAGAGAGAGAGAGAGAGAAGAGAGAAGGACAGAAGGAAGGAGAAAGGGAGGGGAAGGAGGGAGAAAATGGATGACAGTGGTCGATGACTGAGAGAGAGAAATAGAGAGACAGAAGGACAGAAGGAACTGGAAAGGAAGGGGAAGGAGGGAAGGAGGGAGAAAACATAAAGAAAAATAAACGAGAAATAGACTAGAGAAAGAAAGAAAAGAAAGCAAAACAAGAGCTAAAGCAAAAAAAGGGAAAATCAAGCTTTTTATATATAACTTTAGACAAGTAACTTATTGTTCAGAAGGGCAATTCGTGTCTTTTATGAATTATGTGCTTTTTCAACTTATCATATCGCAGAATCGTTTAGGTTTCATTGATAAGAGATAAGATTAAAGTTGCTACGAGATAGTGATCGCAGAAAACATCAAGACGACGTGAAAAAATAAATAAGAGAACAAATAAACATAATTATGTTAGGTACATAGCAACAGCATAACAGACCGTATCCATTTACATGACCTAATTGAAGAGAATTAGCAAATATCTGCAAAAAATCTCGGTTACACAAATAACCTAATCACAATTATCATCATCACGATCACTTGCAAGACTGAGATCATGCATAAAATCCTGTTTTTTAGAATAATAATACCATATTCTGATCACTTTCAGAGGCATACCCTGATGCTGCTACTGTCTGGCAAGCATTTGAAGACGCACT